ACTCTGTGAAAATAATATGTTCAAAATAATGAAAGATCAAGGAAGAAAAGTGAAACGGAATTTATTCAAAATTGCAAAAGACGAAATTTTTTCCAAAATTCGTGCATTTTGAAATTGATTAATAGAGTGCGAGAACTTCTCGCGTTAATCATTTTTTATTGCGAGAAAGGAAAAAAATATGCGAGATTCTCGCGTTCTCGCGCTGTAGTGAAAACACTGTATGGAAACACGAAGAGGGCATTTTAGGGAGGGTAGCTTCGATGAAGAGGTCTCCTTTTCTATCGCCGAAACCAGTCCTAAATAGGGACCCAGCACACCTACTTGAAAAAATCATACCTCGTTACCATAGTCACTGCTCCAGACCTATCTTAGACAAGCAATATGGAGCTCGAGATTGTTATTGTTTACATTTATATTGAAAGCACCTTGCATAATGAGAAGATTTGCTAATTGAATTGGCGACAGCTACGATTTTAATGATTGTGGCAAACAAGCACCCAGGATTTCTTTGTGTGTTTATATTTAGATAATAATAAATCAATCATAACAAAATTACTAAGTAAACTTTTTTACTTACCTCTGAAATTATTTTCTGGGGCTTTGGCTGGGAGGCCTAGTAAAAAAAAATATACATTTATCAATAAAGAGAAAATGAAAATTCTTAACAAAAACGTCAAAAAGAATTGCAATACTGAGAAAAAGTTACATCACTTCCTAGAATATTGATTGATGAAAATATTTCTTACTTGTATAAGAAAAAAAGAACTATATAAAAATTAAATGATAGACATAAACATACATCGACTATAAATATAAATATGTAAACATATAAAATAACCACACTGATTCATAGTTTATTCCTACGAACCATGTAGCGGCAAGATCCTAAATGACATTTTATGAACTTCTTTAACTTCAATAAACGACTGAAAGAAAGCAACATTGAAAACGATTTTGATAAAACAGAAATATAATTTTAAAATTAATCATGCCTTATCTTGATCGCCGATATTCATTTTATTAAAAACAGCTTCAACCACGTTTTCCGACATAATAAATAGCAGCCGACAACTACAACAACGAAAGCAAAGAATCTTCCTGTTGCCACTGAATAGAGGTGTTAACTAAAAAGTTTGAATTTGTTTTGATCAATGCGTAGATAATAGGAATCCACAGGAGAAAAAGAAAGTCCTATCTTCCCGGTGGCAGAGAAAAGCAAGTTTTCTAGTTTACCTTAATTTTGTGGTTTATCTTACTACTGGCGCAAGAAACGTTATTTTCAGAGTATTAGTTTAACTGTCATTTTTCAGAGATAGAATATAATATTATAATTAATGCACTGCCTTGAATGCTGTACTTTAAACAACCCCCTACTCTTTTAGTCAGCTGAAATGAATATTGCTAAGCGAATTTTAGCACCAAGAGCATCGATGACGTAATTTAAAGCGAAAATGCTGGAACGAAATCGCGAAGAAAAAAAAAATATTTTCGTGAAAAAAAGATCGACAGGAATATCTGCAATGTTCTCAAGATCGAGAATACTTACAATATTCTTGTCAATAAAAGAGATTTGGGGCTTTGCTGGATATAAGTGTTGAGTTACTTACCGAAAAATTTTGAAATGGCTTTTAGTGTTATGCTTTTACCACAATATCTCTTATTTGGTATTTATATTTTCCTCCCATGCATTCTTTACTTGCACGTATTTCAACTTTGTTTCCATGATAATTAATTTGGTTTCCCTTTCGTTAATTAACGTTAATAAATTAATTTATGTAGCGTTATTGTCAGATCGTTATGCACAGTTTTTATTTAAAATAAACTTTTTGCTCCAAATTCTTTGTTTAATTTCTAATGAGTCAAATGACCAATTGCAAGAAATGGAAGAATTTAAATGTTCTTTAATTACCTTTATTTAATTTTAGTCTCTTTACATTTGTTAAACGTTTTAGATTTTGTGTTGTGGCGTAATTACCACTACGATTATTAAACATCAATTCACTAGTATATAAGGCATGCTAACTTGATTCCATCTTGAGGTACCTTTTGATAGCTGAATTTGGGCATTGTCTAATGGACTTTCTCCCCATTGGTGACCCGGACGTGATATGATTACTGTTACTTCGATAGATGGTGCAAATTGAACAGTTGACTTGCTATTTGTAACTGCGTCGTCGTCCTCCTAGCGTCGTTGCAACTCAGTCTCATTGACACACAACGGGATCCTGCACTCTCGACTGCTAATAGCAACACAGGAGTGACCACACACACAACCATGATCTTAATACAGCTCTCATGATTAAAGTTCAAAAACCCTGCGAACGAGCTGGATTAGGGTCACCGGGTGTTTTTTTTTTTTTTTTTTTTTTTTTTGAAAACTTACTAAGTTTTAGGGTTATTCTTAAATATACAAAAACTAGAAGAATTTTTAATGAACCAGTAGATCAGGAGAATCTGGTAAAATACAATAGAGTTGGCTGCTATGTGAAATGTTTAGTGCAAATGTGTTTACTGACATCTGTTCTTAAAGATGTTACAATAATTATCTTTTACACAATTAAAAACATTAAGTTTTAAAACTTATATCCTGTATCTAAAGCTCATTATACACAACAAAAATGGTATCATATTAAAATGCTATATGAGAGGTGTTAGTAGGCACTCTGTGAAAATAATGCACTCTACAATAACTTTACATGAATAATGAACTACATTTTACTATAATTTATAATAGAATTGTAAGTTACTATTGAAACAATTTTAACAGAATTGTATTTCCAGCATTAATTAAAATAAATCAAAGGAGCAAAATATATGAGTGTGCATTACAAGAGTTAAGGAAAAGAATACAAAATATTTAATTCTATAAGAACAGAACTTCCTTAGAAAGAAACGCGCAAACCAGCAGAATTTTCATAAGAGAGAATAATTGAAGCAATAAAGAAAACAATGGGAATAAAAATACGGCTACCGAAGCTGACGTCTTCAGGGGGTACCAGCTCCGGAAGCCATAAAAACAAAACCTTTTCTATATTGAGAGCCAGACAAATGTCAAAATTTGCTCTCTCAGTACCCCGAAGGTTTTGCAAAAGTCCAGGAAGAAATACATAAAATCAAATCAGAAGAAAACATTTTAAACAAAATCATGAGAATAAAATACAAAAATGAGAATAATAAAATTCACAGTTAAGTAGTCAAACAGAAAATTCATGAAACTAACTCAATGTAAAAGAAACATTTGAAATAAAAGAAACACCTCCCCGTATTAAAATGCACAGTAGAAAGAAAAAAAGGATAGGAAAGGTAAAGATAGTGCAGCAGATTAATATAATATTTAACTGAGGCTGCTCAATCAAGACTTTAATTTCGCCCAGTTAAAAGAACGAAATAATAAACTAATATTTCTCTATCATTTTCCTAATTAAAGATTTAACATTACAGTAAATAAGGAAAATCATTATTTCTCAAAAAATTATTTGTTGCCTCCTGAAAACAAATTTCTTTAATTCTAAACAATTGAGAAAAAACTAAATTTTTGAAAATTTTACTGCACAAATTAGTATTAAAATTACAAAAAAAAAATAACTTTAAATTTAAAAGTCTTTTGTTTACCAGAAACACCAATTTTAATTTTTTTATCAACAATCTAAATTTTAAAATCTAAATATTCAATCTTTACGCAATCTTCATTAGTTTTTTTCAAAACCAAATCTTTAGGATAAATACTAAAAATAAAATCATAATTATCACAATTAAATAAAAATAAATCATCAATATATTTAAAAGCATTAAAATCATTAAACTCAAGAAATTTAGCTTAAAAAATGTAAAAAAATATTAGCAAAAGCAACAGAAAAGGAATTGCCTTGTGGAATTCCAAAAATTTGTTTCTAAAAATCCAGACCATTAAAAAGTACATTCTCAAAAAGATTAAACCTACAAATATCCAACCAATAAGATTTATCAATATTTTCAATAAATAAATATTTATCGAAAACGCCACTATAAATTTCAATAATCTGTGCATGTGAAGTAGTAGTGTACAGATTTTCAAAATCAAAAGTATTAATACTAGAAATTGCATTATTTTTGATATAATCCAAAACATTAACGTTCCTTTCAATAACAATATTTTTCTCTTTTTTGATTTTAAGTAAAATAATTTTAAGAAAATTAAAACTTTTTTACTAATATCAGAATTGTAGCAATTAGTACCACACACAATAAGCCTTAATTCAATCGGGCATTTATGAAATTTAACAATAGGAAATAAATATGGAAAAGTAATCCTATTTAATTTAAATTTTAATTTTTTGCTAATACCCTAATTAAGCCCTAATATATATTTTGGTAACACTTTTTAATGGACGAAGGCCATAAATAAGCTAGATCGTAGCTTACTCTACCATGTTTACCCTTTCTTAAATCAGAAATCTGAAAAGTGACTCCGGTTATTTTATTATGTTAATATCAGTGTAAATATCGCTTTTTTAAAAAAAATCAGTTTTCTTAAAATCGAACCTGATGCTGTGAAGATAAAGAATTTTGTTTTCCATACATGCTATTTTAGTAAAATACAGATTATATAATACTTAATATTCACAGCAAAAAAGCTTATCATTTTATATCAAACATATTGTAATTTTAATCTACATAGTAAAATATAAATACCCTGAAAAAGAAAAGAAATCTCTTAGCAAAGCTATTTAATTTCTAGCTTATTTTCTAGAATAATAGTAAAATATAACTGCATACCAAATTTTATTAAATGTTATTACGTATGAGCATGTCTTTCCTGAGGGAAAATAGATAGCTTATACATAGCTTATATAAAGCTGCAAACTTTAAAATTCTGTTTGGTAATAACAAATAATTTAATTTTAAACAAGCTAGAACGTTTCTGTTATCAGCTTTTTACGGGTTACAAAAAGGCATGAAAATTTTCAAAAACTAATTTTTATTTTCACAAATAATGTAATTTTGGCGATTGTTGGCATTCCACAGCGTTCGTTTTTTGAATATCGTGTTGACGATGTCGGTCGACATTGCGCAACGTTTGTAAATGCTGAGAGATATCGATCGACGTTCCCCAACCTTTTTTACAATATCGAACAATATTGTTTTGCAATATTGACTATACGTTATAAAAGGGGTCCATTTTTATATCATACAATGTTTCGCTACGATAGCGGGTAATGTTCGAAGCTAAGTTTTTACGATGTCGTTTTTGAGATATGTGCTACTTGGGTAGAGAAAAAAAGTAACATTAACAATACTATAAAAAATTACAATGTCAAAAGAGATAAGTTTCACATAGTTACAAAAAGTCCCAATATGTTGCTACCCATTTACGGAGTTAACTAATTTATTTTGAATACATTATCAATTTAGAATGCAAGGTATACATTTCATACGGTAGTTACTATGAAATTTGGAAATATATAAAGATGAATTGTAGATCTAAAATAAAAATACTCATAACTTTAATCACAATTTTTCCTTAATACAGCTGTCGTAAGAAATGGAACTTTTATCTTTTAATAATCTTTATTATAAACTGTACATAATATAAACTTTAGCAACCTTCCTAAATTATAAAAACAAACAGCGAAAAAAACAAGCATTTATTTCCATATAGGTTGATTTATTATTATACATAAATAACAGACTATGTAATTTCCTAAAAAGCATGCAAGCTCATTTTCGCTATGTTACCGCTGATCTTACTAATACATTCTTAATGATCAAACATTTACGTTGGAATAAATATTTCTATTATAATAACATTTTTAAGTTATCAGAGCTTTTCCACCTCAAAAATTATTTAACAAGTTCTTCAAACAATAACCGCTCAATCAATTAATGTTAAGCATATTAAAATAATTCTCTAGTAGAGTGGAGTTATGAATGCATTACAAAATTCATTCTCATTAGAAAAAAACTTGTGAATGATGCTTTAGTTTTATGGAACGTAATATATTAACATTTATGCAATGTGTTCAAATTTTATTAGTTAAAAATAAATGTAATGAATGTCTGTGTAATATTAAGCGCATTAATTATTTTTACTTGCAAGATTTCGCACGTGCATTTGCGGCATAACTACCACTAAAGTTTGTTTCACCTTAAGTTGGCACTGCAGGGAAGGGTAGGAAATGTAATACTCCACCTTTGAAAAGTAATTCTTCGCTATTTTGGAATTAATTGCAATTTAAATGCGCGTACAAATATAAATAAATGTTGTATAATAAGAAAATTTTATCTTGAAACATGTATTAGAAGTTTTTCATGTTTAAATGTATTTAACTTATAAATACCTTCTCAGTAAAACAAATGTACAAAGAAGAAGGAGGTGTTTTAGTTTGGCGCTGTATTAGTTTTCAAAGCCAAGGAATTGCCGCGTTGTCTATGTTTTTACACTGGTCAGCCAGTTTTTTCTTTTGCAGTTCTGTTTCGCTTTCTTTCACTCGCATCGCTTAATTGTTCCTTTGTTTTGTGTTTTATTAGTTAAATACATCTAACTGTTAGTTTGTTGTTTTTTACTAGTTAATTGTTAGCTTGTTTTTTATAGTGATCAATTTTTTTGTATTTATTGTTAATTTTTTGTTGTGATTCCCCCCTCCCCCTTTTTTTTCTAATTGCTAAATGTTAGCAGGTTTTTTTTTATTGGTTTATTTTTGTAGCTATGAATTGTATAGCTGGTTTTAATTGTTAGCTTGTATTATTTTGTTACTTATTAATCGATAGCCTTTTTTCTTTTGTGAGTTATCAATCTTTAGCTTGTTTTCCTTTTTTAATTATTAATTTTCATAGTCATTAAATTCCTTACTTATTTTTTTATTTTAACATTTTAAGAATGTCAGAGACAGGACTATCAGCGACAAAGGTGTTTACGCCATCAAAGCGAGGAAAAATTATACAAAGTGGTGCTCGCAGAAACATTTTTAATGTTCATTCACTAAGAAAAGAAAATCCACATGAATATAATAATTAATGCACATTAATAATAATAAAATAATGTACCGGGATTAATTAATGTACATTGATCTACAAGAAAAAAGTTACATATAAATATCTAAATCAAAGTATTTATGAGCATCTATGCATTTCTTTTTACTTAGATTTAAGAAAAAAAAATATTTTTAAATATTTCTCTTTGTTTAAAATTAGTTTCGCTTAGTTAAAAAATCATAATAATAGAAAAAGAACAGCAAATATTATAAAAAAAAAGTATTATCTATTTCCTGATCAATGATTTTCTGTCTATGTTGATTTTTCTTCTCCCACAAAACACCTATGTGGAATAAATTAATGTACATTAATCTACAAAAAAAAAAAAAAAATTTGCATATAAATATCTAAAACAAAGCATTTATGAGCTTCTATGCCTCTTTTTTTTTTACTTAGATTTAAGCAAAAAAAAAATCTTTTTAAATGTAATATTTTTTGTTTAAAATTAGTTTCGTTTAGTTAAAAAATCATAATAAGAGGGAAAAAAAAAGAACAGTAAATATTATAAAACATAAGTATGATCTTTTTCATGATCAATGATTTTCTCCCTATGTTGATGGCTCTAAAAAAATCGTGCTCTTTTCTGTATTCTGCTCAAAATTTTAGTAAGATTCTTGGTTAAAAAAAAAAAAAAAAAATCGGCCTTTTGTTTTTCTTTAAAGCCAATACTGGCCACTTTCTCTCCTTTTTTTGCTGTCTCATCCCCTTACCGACTTAAAGAGTAACCTAGTTCCCATGACGGCAGCTGTAATCCGGTCTACCTGCCCTTCTCTTCAGTGCCAACTTAAGGTGAAATGAAGTATACAAATATTAAAGAAAAATAATGTGCGAAATGCTATAAACAAAAAAATAATGAGCGAAGCGAAATGCTATAAACGAAAGAGAGAGAGAGAAAGAGATCTCGTTAGGAGAGATTCTCTCGAGAGAATTGCTATAAACTAAAACAAAAAAAAAGCAAAAAAGGAAGAAAATATATAATGAGCAAATTTGCTTAAGTGATTTGCACTTAAGTGATATAAATAAATAAAAAACAGCATGAATCAACTAGTGGTATCCACTCATTGAATTCTATCACAGATAATATTCTGGAAGGGGAGTAATGTGGCATAACTACCACTACAAATATTAAATTCGCGATCGCAACGTACTATAGGGGGCGTTGTTGTATGAGACGGATACCTGCGATTTCCATATGAACAGTGATTCAGTTACTCTAGAGACATCTCTAATGTAGCACGTAGCATTGCAACGTTCCTTCTTTATTGTGGCTAATTAAATTTTTTAAAAAGAAAAATTTTTGGTATTCCTTCTTATGCAAACGAAAACAAAATGGTATCTCTTTTTATTAGAGAAGGAATATCCAAAACACATCGGAAAAATATTTGTACATTAACAGAAAAAAATATGTATATTCTTATAAGAGTTAAAACCTAATGCCCGAGAAATAGTATTACTAAATTTAATGATATAACATGAAAGGCCCATTTAAACTTTACATTCTATAG